ACACACACACACACATATATGTATATATATATAAATACAGACACACACAGACACACACAGACACACACAGACACACACACACACACATATATATATATATATATATATTGTGAACAATCCACCTTTGCTCACATGATTATCCCTACTGGTACGCATATGCATTTATGATCATATCCTCAGAAAAAAAAATTACACGCACGTGTACAGACAACCTTTTCACAAGCCTTCCCTAACAAGTTGTCAGCCATCCATACTCGTATATATTTTGAACTCCAGAATGAATACAACAAGAGCAGCGATAGCGCGCAATTGCATCGAAAAGCAGCACACAAGTAGATCGAGCCCCACGGGCATATATTGACCAGGACAAAACCACACACCTGGTTGAGCTAGCTTTCCTTGAGACACGCTTGGTGCCCATATTCGATGCAGCGGCAGCAATTGTGTCTGGCTTCTTGTTCTCATCAACGCCAGTATCACTGCTTGAAGTGAATACTTCTACTGGAGACTGTACAGACTTTCGGTTATGTCTGGTTAAACGGGGACTGAAAGTGTCCTCCATCTTCTGTTTACTTTAGCACTCTGGCCTAGAGTGGTACCATCCGATCCAAAAGATTACACTGTGCCTGCAATGTCAGGAAACTAGAAATCGGTACTCAACGATTGTCGTCAGTGGGGCTCACTACGCATCTGTTGGGTATGCGTGTGTTGCTGGTGCAATGTAAAGACTGAACTCTCCTTCAGGATTGGAGCACCATAGTATGTATGTATGTGCATAAGTAGTCACAGTAGTAAACCTTCGCCATGAGTTTAAACAATATTAACATAGGTTTACCACTTCAGCTGCTTTTAGCCTGGGCCCTGGGGTGGCCTCGGGGGAAATTCTCAACAAATAAAATAAAAAAGAAACAGAAAAAGACCGCGCATTTCTGAGCAACTCCCAGAAAAGGGCGGTCAGACATTCCGCCTTCTTATTGGTGTAGAATATGTCACCAATATAGAATGAGCAAACAGCCAAACTAAGTATCAAACAGTCAAAAACAGGGGCTATATACTTTATACACACAAGTCGTGCTTTATGGACAAACCCACTACACTCAAATAAGGAATGGACAAACCAACTACACTCACAAAGAATCGAAACGGCGTATGTGTGTGTGCATCAGTCTACGATTACTATGTATATAAACACCTCCAATGTCTATGTACACAACGCCATATTAATATTGTAATGTATTGGCTGGTTGTACGTTGCAATGTTCAACCGCTTTCTCACCAAAAGCAACGATCTAAGCACTACAATCTATAACAATCATTTAACTAGTACTCGAATTACCATAATATCAGTACAAACAGCTTGTAGACACTACTTTTCAATGCTCCACTTATTAGCCTCTAAAGAAGAGCGCAATGTGCGGTCCCACGCCAAAATTGCTATTATACGCCCCATTTCAAACAATTACAGTGGTGCATACTTGACATGAAACCCGGCGGAGCACGAAGTCGATTCACTGGCCCTTGTATTATACATACATACACACATACATAAATACATGCATGCATATATATATATATACATATACATATACATA